CTTCGATAAAGATAGAGGATACGAATATTTATGGGACTGACTATATATATTTTACAGAATTGTAAATAGATTTTTTCGACTTTTCTTTCCTTTTCATTCGTAGCACATTTCCGTTGCACGCAAAGGTCGTAGAACCTGCACGATTTATAAAAAATAATGTGGAAACGTTATCACGTTTATAATGCACATATCATATTGCCAATAAAAAGATAAAACTATCTTTGAAATTCATTAATTTTGTCACCAATAGCTTTCTCAAACCTCGTTGACTTAATATGAACATATTTTGATCTTTTCTATGATGTTAAATAAAATAATCTTGACATAGAAATTAATTCTTGCCTGACTGGTCGCGTTGTACACTTTTTTCTAAAGCTTCTCTCTTTCCGTGTTCGTGTTGCACGATCGGGAACAAATTAACAACGCGACGCTTACACGCTTATGAATTCATGCAAATATTACCGGCGAAGATACCTATAATAATCCCAACCCATAATCATTTACTTTTTTTTTTGTCTTGGTTGTCCATCGAATTCACATATTTTCAGTCTTCTCGTCGAACTGTTTATCATGTTTTGTCACGCGAAGATTTGCTCGCGTTTCTAATCATCATATTTAAAGACGAACAAATTTGATTTTCGCAGAAGCGGCTGACGGTGATCTCAAGTAGGTGCGACGCACGAGCCCAGAAAATTATGCGTTTCACCGTAGTATACTCGTAGTAATTACATTCTTCCAATATTTTGTAATTATGGTAATCACATGCTTTCCTCGGTGTTTCATTTTCAAATTCGCGTCACAGAAGATTGACTTATTAGCGAGACAACAGTGCAAGTATGTAAATACCTGTGATTCATTGAGAGGAATAAGCTTATAAAAAAAAAAAGAATAAATCAAACAAGATTCCATGGCAATGATTGCATTTAACAGAATCACTAACAGTATATAGGAGCAATAATATATAGAAAAGAATGAATAGAATTAGTTGATCTTTTGAACAGATAAAACCAAATCATGTTGAAATAATTTATATACCGGACGATATAAATTGTAAATCCAACATTTAATCACTACTGCAAATAGCTGATGAATAATTGATCGAAACATTTCGAAACCACAAAAACAAAAGAACGATCTAAGAGAGTCGGCCGAAAAGGTGCTCGCGCATGCGGTCGTTGAAGTCTCCAGCGCTCAAGCATCGTTCCTCGAGCCTCGAGTGCCAATGCATCGCTCATTTCGAGGAGATGGTCGCAAATTGCTCGCGTTTTCCCTCGCGTTCCATTTCAGTGGACGATCATGTCTCTGGGCATCCGCCCGCGGCTCCACAACCCCCGGAGGCCGGCGATTACGAATTTCTGGCTGCGTCGTTTGAGCTTCTGCCTGGAAAGGGGACGACGAAATCGTCGTAAGCGGTAAATTACACATATGCTGAGTAGACACGATTCAAATTATTATTATCATCATCATCCGCTCGGCCACGGAATCGCTCTTCCGAGAACGGTTGCACGCGCTCGGGGACGCGGCGTATGCTAAAGGCCGTCTACCCGCTTTCGGGGCCATTTCTTTCCTCATTTGTATGCGATTTGGTCTGGCAGCGGTGCCCATGATACCTCCAGCGAGACTCTCTAATAATTTGGAGCTTTTCATAGGCATTTTCAGTGGTTGACAGCCAGAATTCTAGTTGAAATAGCGGGAAGAATTGTTTTAACGTGGCGAAAAGAAAATATAAAAAAACACGTGGAAAAAGTAATGCAAATATATAAATATTTATAAATGTTCGATTATTGTTACGATGTTCTCAGACCATTGGGTCAATTGAAATGCGAAAGAGCTTACCATAAATAGAAGTGTACGCTTCAAAGGTAACTAACGACTATCCACATAATTATGAGATTGCGTGTATGCAATTTTCGCACAAAACAGCGCCACTTAATAGTCGCGTGTAAACAGAGCCTGTCGCGAAGAATAGAATTATTCGTTAAATTGTGTGCAGTTTAAAAGAGTAATGATAGTCATCGATCTAATTGTCGGAGATTTGAGCAGCTAATGTAGGTAAAACAATTTCGAAATGGCAGGGGCGGAGAACCACTGTGGAAATGATAGAGCACACAAAGCAATCCCGCATTTCGAGCTCGATTGGAGGCGATTCCCGTAATACGTTATTAATTTGAATACCTCGCGCGCCGTTGAATTATTTAACGACGCGATTAGGCTAATGCATCGCGCGTCCTCTTCTATTAAAACACTCCTCGGACTATAAGTGTCCCGATTTTGTGGCTGATAGGCGAGACCGCTTCTTTTTGCTTCGTGATTTCGGTTACGGTCGAGGTCCTGGCTCGTCTTCCCTCGATTCCTTTTAATTGCGATACTCGATTAGCGAACGAAATGCAAGATTCTTCTCGGAACCCGTGGACCCCTTGATTATTGTTATTACGTTTCGAACGTTGAACACGTATCGCGCAATCGTTCCGCTCGATAATTTTACATTGATGGAATCGTTCCGGGGGCACGTGCCAATTATATCACTATGCTATTTTCTTGTAAACTCTTCCCTTTGGATAGCCTCCTTCTTGTTTGCTCGCTTGGGCGCGATGACTTGTAGATTCGTGGCTGCCAGGTGGACCTCGAGTGGCTATGACCTGGATGGCACTCTTTAATCGCAAATCGTGAAACAAGTACGATTGTAATAATTACTGCAGAGGTTACTTTTATTTGATAATGAGGGTATTCGCTGGCCAATTAATAGAAGTCTCCTTTTATGATTGTTCATCGACATGCGTTATTTCAGATAGGCGCGAAGACAAGTATTCGTATGAAGAAAATATTTTTTCTCAGATTGTGGTTCCTTCATTTTCGCTAGTAAGATTCGAGTGCCTCTTGTATTTTTATCGGGGACCTTGTACGCTAACGCTAAATAGAGAACGAATATTTTTTATCGACCTTCAACTGGGTTCAGTTAAACACAAATATAAAAATATTTTTGGTCTGTTAGAAATACGTCAATCTACGAAAATGTTCAAAATGTCCCCTCTGAAGCATCAACGTAAACTGTTACGTGACAACTTTGCCCGCAAATAAACGATAAAAATAAACACACCAAGAACAAATTCCTACCTAAAATGGCACTCTCAATCCATTTTATTAAATGTGTAGCAGCTGTGCAACACGGAGAATATTGAAAATGGTTGAGTGCAAGGAAACCTTCCCTCCCTTCCCTCCCCAGACACCGATTCCTCACTTGGAATCGCTGGTTCCGAGGACCAGTGTCCCTCCCTCGCACCCAAAACGTAACATTACCGCGGAACAGTCGCAGCTCGGGGGGCATTCCTGAAGTCTGCGCAACGCCGAGCCTGCGAGGGGTTGGCATTCCGATCGTAGGTGGTGCAGAAAAGGGAGGATACGGCCTTTGTCCTCGGGGACCACGGGAAGCGTATCCACCAATTAGGGATCCTGGCCCGCGGGTGAGGATTTCGAGAATATTTGAGAACCGCGCACCGACAGAGGACGGAGTTCGTCGAATCGACGGATGCCACCGCCGCCTAGGAATTTCGTGGGTGGGTCTGCACCCTGGAGAACGCGTGGTCCACGGCATACTGCTTCGGTTTTCTCTCGACGATGATTTTTTGTCATTGAGGTCACTTTGGAGGCTGATAACGCGGTGTAAAATTTTTAGAAATTCAGAGCTTTTTAGAATCCATAAAAGAAACAAGAAATTATGTTATCTCTTTCAGACCTGGCGACCACAATTGAGGACACAAAATTTAAAAATTACCGACACTATCGTTTAGTGCGAATGTCATTTATGCACACGAAGAAAGACCAGTTTTCTTTGAAAACTACACTATTAGGATTTTTTTTTTACTTTTTCCGTACTAATTTTAGTCCAAGTTAGTTATAAAAGTTGAATTACATTAGTACGAGACAAGAAATAATTGAGGTCTGAGAAGGTTAACTACTGTACTGTTATCGGCGAAATTATTCGTGGAGAACAATTTACCTATTGTCTGTGGAATAATAATTTTTCCAGTGAAAAAAAAAATGTATTACAATTCAGATACCTGTTAATGGTTATAGTCAGGACCATGGCAATGCAGAGGTTGGCGATAAAGAAGAAGAATCTAATCTAAGAGTCATACAGTAAAAATAAAATAAATTCATTCTTACTGCATTATTAAATTAGAAAATATTCTACATGACCTTGAACATCAGTGTTTGATAACTGCTTCGGTTCATAAATTAAACTCGTTGAAGTTGAGTGTAAGCAATTTGCCCATTTTCTATCGTTTTCAATCTCCTTATAATATCCTCTTTCAAAATTTCCTAGGCAACGTTTCGTCAGTCGCGTTAATTCCTCGGCCATACATAAATTTCTTCCTTGAAAAATTGCTGGTTCCCCCCAGGGCGGGTGGGTGCCCGTAATGAGGGCAAATCGGAATCCCATGGTCTCGTTTAAAGTTTGGTAAAATAGAACGTCGGTTCACGGAATCGGTCGAACGAAATCCGGTGGGCCTGCCGCGTAAAACGCGCGGGTGGATGATTACATGATTGCCCGGTCATTATGGGAAATTTTCAAAAAGTTCAGGTCCTAGTACCTTTTCGACACTCGGGGGTAACCTTTTTTACCTTAATCGCGTCCATTACCGGAAATTTTGGAAAGCTAAGACCGCCTCGATTACCAGCAGAGGCCCTACCTCGATGGGCCTCTTTGATCGCGCCGACCTCGCTTAATTTCTGCTCTTATTGGTAAACTATTTGATATCTTAATACGATCTCATGCTTAAAAAAATTCAATACGTTTATTAGAATCGATGAACAATCCATTAAGTATCTTATTAATTTTGTTATTATTTTAGGACGTAATCTTCTCGGAAATTCTTCACTTTGCCATCAGATTATATTAAAACTGTGTAGCTCTTATTTAAAATGATATCTATAGATTGTAGAGTGTCTCTTCTGATTGCAGCTCATCTGGAAAATCAACCTGCCAAAAAACCACGACGTTTAATAACGTAAATTTTATTGTTTAAATTAGACGTGACAGTATTATGTCGTATCTACAGGAAAAGTACAAAGTTATAAGTTATGCTATATGTATATCATATATATTATAATACGATAATAATCGCACGAGACAGCGAAGAGATTTTATTTTAGCGTTTTATGAGTTTCGACGGGGGATGATATCCTCGATAGAGGGGATGGGTTTGGGTTTGTCAGGAGTGTACAGGAAGGAGAGGGGACGTGGAAACAGGGTTAAAGTGGAGGACGTGAAAAATATAAAAATAAACGTGAAATCGACGGAAGCAGCCTCGACAAAAGGCACGACAAATTGCTACACGGAAGCAGACGCTCTTCTTCTTGCTCTTCTTGTTAGACGCTCGGTTTCTTCGTTCTTCTTCATTCGTTTCTTTCTCGATTAATCGTTTACTCTAAAACACATTCTGCGAGTCAGGTGAAACGAAACATCGTAAGGCAGCCTTCTGATCGCGCAAAGAAAGGAAATTATCTCCGCTAGTTGCGCGAGCAAGAGTAATTTCGTTCCTTCATCGAGAAAGCAGCATGCTCACAGTGTAAACGCGATCGTCGTTCGTAGTTAATTAATAATAACTCAATGTCGTCGAGGAACGCAGCGAGGAGAGATTCTGGGGGGTTTTTGATTCGCTGCGTCTTCGCATGCGCTGCTTCGCGTCTTTCTCCCCGATTTCCATCCTCCATTTTGCGTTGAGTGCGTGTATGCGTGTGGTTTTCAGGTGTGCGACTGAGATGGACAAAATTCTCATTCGGAACCTTAAGCGTCGAATGAATGTTAAAATTTTAATCGAAGAATGAAATTGTATCTTACATCGGATGAACGAAAGTTATCGGTACTGTTGTTTGATAGAATCAATCCTTTATCACTCGAATGAAACCTTGCCCATCTCTTGGGACAAACGAGGCTTGTCCGCGTTGACTTCGTAATAGAAACAAAACGAGGAGAGACACGGTCCATCATCGCCAACAACGAGGGGCGTGTACCTCGTGAAGCGTGTGTATGTACAAGAAAAGACGCGCTTCGTTTCCCTCTCTTCCGGTTTCACGGTTACTTTGGCGATTGCGACAAGCAACAACTTAAACCTACGCTTCCTCAAGGTTCGATGCTTATCCAGCTAAGAATATCGCTCGCTCAGCCCTTCGACGCTCGGGGAAAATCTCGTTTCGTACCTTATCGATCTAGTCGGTAAAAAATAGCGATTAATATGAGCGTACGTATATGTTGTCATGATCCTCTTAATACGAGTAAGTATCTATATATATTAATAATATGCGTAATATGCGAATATTTGGCGTGACTTCTGGGATCGATGAGACAGTGTCGAGTATTAGTGGGAGAAAACACGTTGCTCGATGAGTAAGTTTAAATAAAAAGAAAATGGAAGACCGATATCAAGATGGCGCAGATGAAACGTCGATGCGAAGTGGAAATGTACAGTGGCAGTATTTTTTTTTTTATAGCCAAGGACAGGACAAACGCTGCGACTTGATTTTAAAAATTACTTCCCAGCGTGCGAATAGATTTTGGGATACTAAAATTTAATCTAGAACGAGGCTATTAAAATGTTCACCTCTAGAATACAGTTCGAATACAACTGGAGGGCCCAATGTATCTAATTTTCTCCAATCTAAAAATAAACCGGTTTCAAGGGGTGTGAATGTGCAAAATCGCATGGAATTCGGCATTTCGCGTGCACCAGCTTGACACACTCGAGTCAGTAAAAAATATAAAAGAAAAGTTACAAGCAGGCTGCTCGATTGATCCACGTATCGCAGGAAGATTTTACAAATGTCGTTGAACGTAAGCCTAGAGATATTTGCAACGAAGAGTGACGAGAAATTAGCGGGGCGATTACGCGTACCGAGAGGAGGATTTCCGTCTCCCACGATCATCGCTCTTACCGCTACGCTAACGTATGTACATCAGGGCAAACACGATCGCAAAGAAACTCTACATAAAAGAAAAAAAAAAGAAAGGAGAGGCTACACCACGAATCTACAAGAAAATTGTGTCTCTAAACTCATTGGCTGGTTTGAACGCCACGACTTTCGCTCACGATTCAAACGGTCGAGCTCTCTGCGTCTTCGATGCTTTCGACGTCTCGTTCATCATGAACGATGATATTCGGTTAGCTCTTCCGCAGTCTTATGATTACTACGACGATCTGTCGATTTCCATTACCATCGATAGCGTCTCTACGCGAAAATGCACTTTCACTTTTTTTCTTCCGATGCTCTCGAACCTTGTAACGTTTATTCACAAGAAGCAACATCCAACTGTCATATGATTTTTGTGAAATTTTTCGGGCAGATAGAGCATTGAAAAACATTATACATTACTTTATGTTCACTATTTATATTACAGGCATTGTTAAATCTATCGAGGTTTATTCTTTCGTGAAGTCATACTTTGACTTCGTTGAAAAAAAAAACATAGATTTTCGTCCTACTTCTCTTCAGAAACACACTCTTTTAAAAGATAAAATAAAATTCACGCAATGAAGAGTCTCCTGCACTCGTTCCATATGTCTTATAGATATATCCTTACTGTCAACCTATACATATAAAAATTGTGTTGCCTAATGTTTTTCGATGCTCTGTGCACAATATTTCATAAAAATCGACGTGTTACATTTAGTCGATGTTTCTTGCCAGAATGAAACGTCTATATATACGTCTATATGTATCTCTCTCTCCTTTTGCGTAGAATCGTTATCGGGCGCAACGTCAAGCATTTTGCATCCGATTACACTCTACGCCACGTTCGCGCGTAGCCGCGAGGTTTCAGGAAGTTTTAATTGGTCATGGTTGAATTATACGCGAATAGATGAAACTTTCTTCCCGTTTGTGTGTTACGTCGACATCGCTCGCGATCGCTCGTCCTCGTCTTTGACGCTCGTCCGCCGTGTTTCCGGCAACGATTTCTAATTTCGCTCCGATAAAAATTGTTTCGCGTGCAGCTCGCGATTCACGGCTAAATTTAATCTCGTGTTTCTCTCCTTTTCAGTAATTGCATAGTACAGCAACGCTAGCACCGATTTCAACGGCCCTGAAGTACGTTGGAGGAGGGGTGTCGTTAGACTTCCTGGAGAAGGTCTTCCAGGACAAAATTGACGAATAAAACGATTGGAGAATATATTAAAGTAAGTATAATAAAGAAGCGACACTCTAATTTTGTTCATCTCTGTTGGGAACAACTCTCCTCCAATTTTAATCTCTCTCTAGATCGGTTATAAATCAGTGACAACGTCGTTTTAATACATAATTAATTATCTTTCATTCTCTTCTCATGCGGATAAAACGAGGGACACAGAACAAGAACGAACGATGGCGATTGGTTAGGCGCGATCGTCTTAAAAATGGAAACGATGAGCGCGAATGACGGACAGCGTCAACTTAGACTGGTGGCAGAGCCCATAGAGTCGCAGTCTTGTCAGCTGAGGTACTGAGAAACGAGAACTCCGTTGGATGCCATCGTCCGGAGATCACTTTGTCCTGGTGTTGTGCGACCACCACGCTAGGCAAGGGCATCGTTAGATCACCTGCAACCATAAACGGTACGGTGTCGTTATGGATGGCTCTCGCTCCCTATGCTGGTAGGACGTTTCTTTGGGAATTTAATAAAACCCGAACACCAGGAATTGTTTAATGCTTTCATGTAGTGAAAATTTAGGATGTCTCACCTTGCAGGTCCGTGAGTACTAGCTTGTTATCGTATCCACCAGTGAGCAGGTAGTACGCGGAAGGTGAGAAACGTATGCTCCTGATGTCGGCGGCGTGGGGTTTGAAACACTGCACGGTTCTACCGCCCCGGATGTCGAAGAGGACGCAGCTACTGTCCTCGTGACCCGAGACCAGAAGACGTCCAGATGGATCGACGCAGAGCGCCGCTACCGGGCTGCCAACCTGCAACGGGATCAAATGCTGCTCAGACACGCGATACTGATTCCGTTCTACATTGATTCGTATGACGTCCGATAAAAGTTCGATCCTGAGAGAGAGAAAGAGAGAGAGAAAGAGACAGTAGAAAGTGGAGTGTATGACTGGTGACGCGAGGAGGTATGATCGGTGCGATTTAAAAACGTGGGTCGAGGCTTTATCGGACGTCGAACTAAAAACGAAACTCAAAGAACGAAAGTCGATGTCGTCGGTGCATGCTGGATGCATGTTTCGTCACAGAAATCTAATCCTTATAATCCCTAATTCGACAAATATAACTTAATGTGTTTATCGAGCGTTTTCTCTGGGTTTATTTTGTATTATTCGGTACACAGAGTGCAGGTACCTTGCGCAATTGAAATAGAGTTGTGTAACACTGTAAGAGTACAATAAATACGTAAAAGTAAGCGCTAAAGAAACACATTTAAATCATGGTTGCATAACCATGGATTACTAGGACCGATTTTCTGTAACAACGAGCACTATATATTAGAAATTGCAAGCAATCCTTTCTACGAGAACGATTGCATATATTTGCGATGCAATGTCATTCTAAGGATTCTATCTTGGGGTTAGAAAGGACTCTTGCAGCTACGGCCGATGATGGGAAGAAAGCTCTAGCCGAAAAACAAATGAATGGACCTCGATTTCCAAGATCTATTCACTTCCTTCTCGGTGAACGATGATAACTATCTAAAACAGGCCTGTCCACGAATAGAATGTAATAGTTCCTTCTTATTTAAGACTCAGAGCTCTGAACTGCATAGATAATTATACTATTCCTGAATTATCACCTGGTTATCCTGTACAAGCCCGATCTAAGACTGACATCAAGTGGTACAAGTTTATATATAAACAAATTGAAGGGGAAATATATTTGGACTATTCATGATTTTACCTAGACCAAACAAAATATTGGGTTGTTCAGAAAGGTCGTGTCAATTTTTAAGAAAAATTCAAAGACATATTGGAATTTTGATCTACATTTATTAAATAACATAGGTACCATTGTGTTTCACACAACCTTTGCACCTTTATGTACATACACATGTTACTCGTTTTCGGTCATTCCAATATATTCAGATCTGTACCACCTACCAAAAATCGGTATGAACTTTCCAGACAAACAAATAGAATTCTGATCTTCTAACGTTAACTTATAAATGATCCAAGAAACTTGATTTGTACCACTTGGGAGTGACTCTGGAATAAGGAATCGTGATATCGTTTAGAGAGGAGCTAAACTCACCCTGCTGCCAGGTACCGTCGCTGGTGTGACCATGTTGACGCACCCCCTCGTTCTGAGGTCCCAGAACCTGACGGTTTTGTCCTGCGATCCGCTGACGAACATGGCGCCTCCCCAATTGTACAGGGTGAGCACGTGGCCACTATGACCGCTCAGAGCCTGGAAGGGTGTGCCTGTCGCGCAATCGGTGACGTAAATCTTGCAGTCACCTGCGCCGCCGCTAATCAACAGGCTCGACTTGTTCGAGGTGTCTTCGAGGAAGCACAGGTCGCGAACCGTGCCGTCGTGCATCGTCAGCTCCACTTCTTGACCTGGAGCAACCGTAAGGTTACGGAGGAAAGTGTCGTTTACGGAAGAGAAAGTTTTTCAGGAACCTTATTATGCAAGAATTGCGCGAGATTGGGTCGCGTCGTGTGACAAATAGCGAGTTGCTGAAAATTAATGACCACCTCGCCGACCGTGTGAGAACTGCTCGTCATTTCGCGAGGACGTGTCATTAATCTAAAGTACACGTTACCCTTCGGGTCGGACACTTGTCCAAAAACTGGTAGGAAATTCTGAACGTGAGTTTTTAAGGAAATGTGTGTCACCTGTACCCATGGGTCGTGATTACTTAATCTCTGATTATTTAATCGCAACCGACACGAGTCATGTTACGCGTAACACACTTTCGTGATATCGAGATTTCATATGGAAAAAAAAGAGAACTGAATGTTATAAGAAGTAACAGGTGTCGAGTAGCGGGTTCCTTGAATATTGCAATTATCGATCCATTTCCTATTGGTGATTTTTTTAATACCAGTCCTAGCAACTTTGAAGTAACTATGTTGCACTGCTTGGAGATATCAAACGTAACCCTTTCAGATCGGAATTAATTTTTTTTTAAATTGAAAAGCTTTTTATTTTCAAACAGCCGAAATTCATGTCCTGTTATATGGTGAAAAATGCTGTGAGGCGATGAAATGGGTGGGGAGTAACAGAATAAATATGTCCTGTTACACAGCTTGAAAAGAACAGCAAATAAAGAAGAGGACGCACAGTGTGATATTTCAGCGATCTAGCGAGACAAAACTTATGTGGTCCAATATTTCAGAACCTATTAGGTCGTCCACACACGACGCTACTCAAAAGAAATGTAATTGGTTGGTGATTAAAATCACAAACTAATCACTTATTGGTTAGTAATGATTTTGAACATTTTTAGAAAAAGCATCTACCGCTGTCCGCGGGGTGTACTATTACCAGAAAATCATATTCTCAGTCATTGCTTGATCAAATATTGTTAATAATTAATGCAACTATTGTCACAAAATTCATTTTCAGTTATTCCAGCTCACAGATATGACGATATTCTTATCAATATTTAATCGAAGTCTAAATGTTATTATATGCATTGTAAATATTCAATTAATTCGAAGATGCACATATATAATGCATTTTAAAGTTTTAGATTATTATACCAAAGTTTTTCGAGAAAGTAATATTTTCGAACACAAAAAGTTGAGAATAAGATATGTTTCTATATGTTGATATCTATTGATTGGAACAATTAGAACTTAATATCTTCGACATAATTAAACATTTGTGATATATACAGCGTGATATATACGGCGAGAGCTAATGGCTGCGAACTTGTAATAAGATCTCTAGATATAAAAAGTGTAAAGTGCAAGAGTGTAAAGTGCAAAAGTTGAAAGTGTAACGTGCAAAAGTGTAAACTGCAAAAGTGTAAAGTGTAAAGTGAAATTAGATTTAGATTTAGATGGAAACAAAATCCTAATAGTGTAGTTTTCGATGAAAACTGGTCTATTGCTTCATGTGCTCAAATAAAGACATTTCCCCTAAACGATAGTATCGGTAGTGTATGAATCCTCAATTGTGGACGCCAGATCTGAAAGGGTTAAAAAGCTTCAGCGATATATATATAATGTGTATATATGCGACATCGAATATGATGAAAGTTAATTACCCAAGCCTCTGTACAAGTTTCTATGTTACAAAGTCCAAGTATAACAAGCAACAGGTAGTCTAAGACTGCAAGAGTGTCGTTCTTCAACTACTATCTAAGCTGTCAATCGACGCCTGAACTGATTCTTTTTTATTCACCTTCAAGGTTCGACGTGTCAGCTTTGAAGCGCATCAGTTTGACAGTCTTGTCGTTGCTCCCGGTGGCCATCATCTGTCCATCAGGCGTCCACGCCAGGCAATATATCGAGCCCTTGTGGTGTTTCGTTCTCTTGAAGAGAACCGTGGGCTGATACGTCTGGTGATCCTCTCTGGAAAAAAACGAGAAGCCCAACAACGGGATCGTTAACGCTTTTCTACAATGTTTTGTCGTGCTTTTTCGTCCAACGATCGGAGCACGGTTGTTCCATTTCACCGCGCAGCTATCGCTAAAACGACGAAACAGAGTCACGCACGGCCTGCGGATTCGAGCAATCAAAGCGCCAGTTTGCCAGCATCTGCTCGCGATTCGTTTCACTTTTCCCCGCGTTTCGACTACTCTACTTTCCATCTCGATACCATGAATTTCAAAGGAAAACAGAGGAGTACCTCGAGGATTCTACGAGGGAGAAGCTGCAAAGAGTTGGCTCGAAGCGATGATTCGCTATGCAGGAGAGATCAGTCGTTCTATAAAATTCATTTTTGTCGTATCAGGACCTGGATTATATGGTACGATACTCCAATCGATAGCGAAATAACCGTTTTCAAACATCGTTAAAACTGAGTTCAACTCAGAAGTACTCCCTTCAGTTCCCTAGTATACGTTGTCTGTTAGATTACGATAATGACCGTTGTAGAAAAATTCAAATATGATACAAAGTGTATCGATATATGATCAAAAAAAGATGCTTCAGAATTTTATTTTTTAATATTAAAATTCCCCTGTCGACGTAATGAGGGTATACATTAGGTGGACTGAAAAGTAATGTCGTTTCTGTGAATCTCAATACATATTTATCATTCATCAGCTGATTGATTTGTATCGATCTGGTATTGAACATTTGCACGTTAGGTGGCAAAAGGCTATTGATAACGAGGGTGATTACATAATTGGTTAAAAATAGAAACTTATTAAGAACATATCTGTTTGAATTTAATGTAAAAGAAATTACATTACTTTTCGGTCCCCCTGATACTTAAACAACATCTTCATATAGGTTTAATCGTGATCATGTATACTTTCATTTAACTCTTTGCGATCGGTGTCACCGCTGTGGTGATTTTATGTTTTCATGTATGAGAAGCAGTATTAAACACAATAAATCAGATACAACAAATTCTATGTTTTTTAATATCCATATATTTACTTTAAATCACATAGGAAGAAATAATTCCGAAAAGCTAAATTCGTCCCGACTAGGTGGTACTCTCATCAGAGGGTTAAAATAAGTCGAATCTCATGCATTCCATACCGTTAATTAAAAATTCGAAACTAAAATCCTAAAGCCCCTTTCGGAAAATTCTTTGCATGCATGCATGCATGTATTTCCTTTGAATTTCGTTGGAGTCGATCTCTCCAGCGAAAAGGGAACCCCGTTGTTCTCAGGCGTCGCTTTCCTTCAGCCTCGATTTCTGTGACGTTCCCAGGTCGCCGTGGCTTCGTCACGTCCCTAATTAAACGAGGAGGATGCGAGCAGGCAACAGGGGATCGCTGATTCGGTCGTGGAAACGAGGGGAGAGGATCGTCGATAGGACTCTGAAGAGAACCAACGCCGCTTTCACACCGACTGCTCGGTTTTTGCCTCGATTTTAATTAGCCACGAGTTTTCCCAGCCGAACCCGAGTTGGATCTTTCTGCTCGACGTTCGAGGACTGCCTCGATCCGTCGTTCTCTCTTTCATTGCTTCTGGGATCACTTTCCTCCATGGAAACGCGCGAATCGCGTGCACGAAATCATTGGCGAGTTGATAGGTAGGAATTTTCAGGTGCTTTGTTAGAATCAACTGGATCTTCCGTTTTACTTTCCCTTTGCAAGGAATGATCGAGAGGGACGATTGACGATGAGCCAATGAGACAAAGAGGTGTTTCAATATAAATTTTTTTTAGTCAAACTTCTTTCACAGTGCAAGTAATTAACCCTTTGCACTCGAGGGGTGACTCTCAGTCACCGCTAGGTTTTCTTTAGATTTAATTTCTTTGGAACTCGAAGTGCCAATAAAATGATTGTCATTGAGGCAAAGGTGACCTGATTCTCAAATCTCAAATTAGAGATATCATTTTCGAAGTCAATATAATCTTAGCGTTCGTGGCAATAGAATGCTAAGAAAGCATGTCGAGTTGCTGGTAGATACCAGAAAAAAAGGCCTCGAGTGCAAAGGGTTAACCTTAACACTAAACCTATCACGACATGTCAAATGACCGTTTTCCATATTTTGGGTACAATCATTGTATACAAAATAAAATTCATATACGATTGTTCCATGTAGTATTGAATTTAGTATCATGTGAAATATTTCTGCATGCAATTGAAAAAAAGTGTCTTTACGATCAGTCATTTAATTGATCAAGGTAGAAATGGTAGGTAGGTTTAGTGTTCCATTCAGAAATATTTAAATGTGTTATGATTGGAGCATTAAACGGAGAAGAATGATAGAAATTAAGGTGAATGTTATCGTAAAATGCGATATAATCGCCGATTTAGAAGTAATATCGTAGATATCCAAACGTGTTTGGATACTATCCTTAGATCTACGCTAAAAGAAGCGCACAGTTCAATTTGAAGAATCACCCACGATCCTAATTATACCAAAGAGAGATAAATATCTCAACGAAAATAATCTTCACCTTTCACTTGCCTCATAAAACCATTCAACTTTTCTGCCGAGCGCCTTTTCGTATCCTCAACCACTTAAATACCGCGGCTGAGCGAACTGGCAATATAAACGCCGACCAAAGGAACGAAACCATGCCTAATGACCGCGATAAAAGAAGTAATATCAAACTTAAAGAGCGATTCTCAAATAAATTTTCTGCAATCGTCTCTAGATAGCTCAAACGTGGAAGAAGAAAGCGTTACGTTGTTTACAGATATACATTTCACTTTCTTCGTACATTTACCTTTTCAATACTACATTTTTTTTTCAATGATGTGCAATTATAGTGTGGAAGATTCAGTAGATATTCTAATAATTGATTAAGTTGGATAAATACAAACAAATGCCAAGTGTCGAATGAAACGCGTGCATGAAACGATTGCAGCAAACGTATTTAATATTCCGCGCGAGAATTATCAAATTCAAAATACGTGTGCTTAATGAATAGAATAAAATAAATAAACAAAAACACGTTCTGCGACAGTCTAACGCATCATCGAGTGAAACGAGGTCGAAACAGCTCCGATCGAGGCGCGGTTCTCAATGGTCGTCTCCTGTAACGAGAATCCTCGTTGTCATTCATCGCGTCCGGCAATTTTCGTCAATTCTCCTTTTTCGAAAGTTGACAGGTAAGAGTGCGAACGTTGCCAAGAAGCAATATAGCGAAGGGGACCGGGGTGATACAGTTCCGCGAAACGTTTCGCGACAAATGAAGAGCCACTCTCTCGCTTATCAATCACTCGCTGTCACGTCGCTGAGCGTTTATCGCGTTCCACGGGGCCAATTTACACGGGAACCGAGTGAAACGGTTGTCGTTGCACACTCGACGAGTGGGCGAGCAGAAAGCACGAATTCCTTGGCAGGTAAGCCCGAAACGACGGACCACTGGCAGCTCGAGCTCGTCCCACTCGCTGGACGCAGTCCATTCCACGTCAAATCGATCACTGCTTGCTATCGAGGTAAGGAATTTTGGTGCAATTGATATATGATGTAGCTCAAGGAAAATTGGGGGGAGTTAATGTAATCGTTTTGCTGGTTTCGCATTTGTTTTAGAAATACGATACTTTCTGTTCGTACGAGACGTAAAAAAAAGATAGGAAATTTAATTCGATGTCTTGTATTTTACAAATTTGAGATTCGTGAAAAAGAAGTATATACATGTTGAATTGAGTAATCTCCTTTTCAAAGTCGGTTAAAAATGATAACTTAAACAAACTCCTCTTAATTATACATGCACTACGTTATATTTCAATTTGATAACAATCCCTGATGGTGATCGCAAGAGGTGATCGATTTGCCGTGGAATGATCCAGGTCTGCTGGTGAATTGGATAGGCACAGTCGAATCAGTTGATTACTCGACGCTTTCGTTAGTAGTTTCTCCAACAATTCTATCGCTGACAAGGTAAGATTATTTTCTATAAAAATACTCGTGTCGATCTTTCTTGTCACGTTCAAGGAAAAAAAAACCGATCGTTCCGGCGATCGACTCCACGAAGGTTGCCATTAAGTGCTTGTAGGTTCGATCTACTCGACAAGACAAGCCCAATGATCGTAATTGAGCTACTTGGCATTTTAATCACCGAGTTTGCAGAAATCATTTCCTGCAATTTACGACGTCGAACAGTTGAAATTCGTGTAGCTTACGGTAGCTATTATTCTCCATTGCTTTGAAACATCAGGCTGACGACGATGAAAAGAATTTTTATCGATAATATAATAATTCTACGAGTAGGAAAGAGCGTATGACTAGAAACAATTGTTTAATCTATCAATACTCGCGATTCTCGTTGATTCTAATCGCGTTAAGTAATTTAAATTACATGTTTCGTAACCTTTGATTTTTGTAAAGCGTTTGGTGTAATAATATGCATTTACATTTGATTGAATAATCCCAGCTTGCTTTTCTAGGGACTGCGTGCAAGTTGACTCAACAAATTAGACTGTACTTTTTCATTCCGAATTCCGAGTTACGTTGGATGGTACCTTTTTTGAAAATTGCAGCGATTCAAATCATAAATCTACCCCGTTCCGCCGTAATCCGACGTTCAGGACTTTCACCTAGATGCAAATATTAATTTTACGCGTTGGAAAGCGCGTCACGTTGATTTTTACCGGTCGTAAAAACAGGAATCGTGTGCAATTCCAACAGGGACACAAAATTTCTCAATCATTTATCATTTCGTGCCAGAACCGTCTCGATCTCATACATCAAGTTATTGTAGCCAATGTTACGTGAAATGTAAAAACTACCTCCCATTTTCATATAATCCTAACATTAGCGTATTATTTATCATCATTTACGAACAATTTCATTCTAATTTTCGTTAAATCTATTTATTATTCTTTTCCTTCTCCCATTTGCATATTTTATTATTTTTCAGTTTCCCATTTTGATATGTCATACTTCGTTTTAAGTTCTCGATTCATTCACAGCTTGCGTTGATGCAAACTCAACGAAACCCGCCGAGCCAGGTTCATTAACACAAGTCGACGCCTTATCGAGTATCGCGCATGAAAAGAAATCGCGTTACTTGGGAACAGAATTAATGGCCAGCAAAGTGCATCCACGGGGATGATGACTTCACGGTTCGGAGTTAACATCGCCTGAAACCTGTTTAAGATAACAAAGAGAAAGATGGTATCGTGGAATCGCGGTGGCGGGTAATAAAAGAATCGCGTGGAGCATTCGTATACGTTCGCATACTCGCCTGCACACGTACACTAGTGTGTGCATACACTGGCCGGGAATTTAGGAATGCTCCGTTTGGTATGAAGGCCTTCGCCGTTCGTTAAGTCAGCACGCTCGCGTAAAATTAGTCCACTCGACGCAAAACGTGCCTCGACACCACAGTTGGCCAATAATCGTAATCGTTAATAAAATAATCTTCACTGAGATTGATCGTAAACTCCAAGAATTACGAAAAGGATATATGAAATGTTAAAGCATGAAACTGCGCAAAGACGCAAGTTGAAAATATGGCGGAAAACAAGAGCTTGACTCACTGATGTGACACGTCAATGCCAGGCAGAGAAAACTCGATGGTTCATGTTTAATTGAAAAACCAGTGTTCAGTTTATAATAATTATTAAATATCAGAAATAAATCAGTCGCGCAATTCAACTATGTACTTGAGAATTCTATCTGAGTAAAATATCGACGATTATTATCGTCCAATTATTAGTTTAATGTAATCATGTCTATAAATAAATAAATAAAACACAATTTATTGCGACAAGCTTTCCAACGCATCAAGTTAAAAAAAATGGCGACTTCTCGAACATAGGACATCTGATAATAACTGCTGAACGAGTTCACAGTCGGCATAAATTTTCACGTCGCTCAACATCATATTTTCAATTCCAATTGATAATTAATGCTTTCTACGTATCGTGGATTTTTATTACGACAGAAAGTTTCCATTTAAACGACGGGGCAGGGCATTTATGCGTACGAGACCCAACGATGCCAATTTTCAACTATAAACTCGTCCGACCTACTTATCACGCGGATTGTACGCGTCACGTGCAATCCAGTAAATTTACTTATAAAGTAATAAAGGAGAAAGGAAAATAAAGTAGGTGCTTTTAATTGACGGTGTTTGAAACTGAGTCGAACGTATTGCAGCGTATTCGCGTACCGGTACTGTAATGAACAGCAACACCGATTCACGTATACGTGCGTAAACAGGCATAAGTGTGTAAACGTAGAAGATATAACGTGTAAAATATAAAGTTAGGCAGACATATTTAGACACGGTATTATATAGTTATAGTATGTTTCTTTATACCTTCGTTAATTATGAAATCAATAAAGTTTTCCTCTGAAAGCAACTAAACTTATTTAATTTTACTGCCTGAATCAATAAATCAACGAGCATAGAAACACTGTGGTTAGAATATTAAACCAGAATATTAAACCTGCGATATTTCAATGCTATCGAATCAAATGTTAAAGCATGAAACTGTGCTGCGTAAAGATGCAAGTAAAAAATACGGCAGAAAAACAAGAGCATGACTCACTGATTCGACACCTCAATGCCAGAGCAGAGAAAACTCGATGGTTAAAATTTAATTGAAAAAGCGTGAATGATATTAAAATCTATGGTGCGTAGCAAAATCGAGTCGGTGAGAGGTAGACAGCTATGAATATTCAATGCGCATAAATATTCTAAAACAGGTAAAATTAAAACAAAGTGGCGCCTTGATGTTCTCAGATTGTAGGTGTCTTTTTATATTCTCAAATTTAAATGCATAAAATCTACGGAGAAATAAAAATGCCCGAGATTGTTACCTGACATCGTGAAGCTTTGGATAGGCGCATATTCGGAGGGTTTTAGAATTCGATCCCACGGCGTAGAGTTTTCCATGGGGGTGGAATTCGGCGCATCGAACCGCCTGCACGTCCTCGAGAGCCGTGACAGGAACGAATCTTGGTCTCCCGCCATTACTGCTCCCGTTGCTGACGTCCAGATCAGGCTTTGGTTCTTGCTGGAAACGAGAAAGAAAACCGACCAGATCATTACTTCATTCCGCATCGATGGGCAAACGGGCTTGGTGTTCGCATTTAAAATTTAGCAGCGAGTAACGACCCTTCAGGGTCCGAAGAAAATGTGGGGGAACCGATAAGATCGACGACGAGATCATAAATGTCACCTGGATAACAATCTGTCTTCCGACTACACTCTGATAGATCTAACACCATTAATAATCGCCATTCCTATGCTTTTCCTTTTTATCGAACGCTACTAATGCTCTGTCGGCTACTGATGCAATTATCCAAATTCCTAGTTGCCTCTCGAATATTCATAGATCGATAAGAGCTATCCCAGGATCAATGATGGATGGGCGTTGATATCTGGCTGTACGAGTTAACATAATTTATTGAATTAAAATTAACCAACGACAAGCGGCGCTATAATTAACTTCCTGGGTTTACTCAGACCGTGTTCGAGTTTTAACGACCATGCTCGAAAATGTTAACAAGGTATTACCGTCCACGGAGAGTTACGGTTTTTGCTCTTTCGGCTGTTTTCTGCGTTTCAATGCAGCAGTAAATTGAAACAAAGTTTACGCACTTAATGAGGAAAGCGTGCGATTACGATAACTTTCGTTGGCAAAAACATGCTCGCTATCTTTCGGAACATTTCACTTTTAAACCGGTTCGCGCTCCATTAAGCCTACGAATGGCGACCACTTTGACCCCTTCGTGGGTTTTACGTAATAAAAGTCACACGGTTTAGGGTAATTCTTATTCCGCGAGCCAGTTCGTTCTCGGTAAGACGACGAAAACTTGGGTGGAATTAGAAAGTCGGACCTTGAAACGATTTCTAACGACTCTCTTCTATGCGCAATCATAAAATTTATTTATATGCTAATGTTAGAAGAAGCTTCCTGGCTCGCGGCGTTTTGTTGTTCAAAGGAGCGCTTACAATATACTTTCGACCCCATTAAGGGGAGTTTCTATCGTACGTATTCTTTTTTATCGTCAGAGGTGAAAAATATTATTTCTATTGCGTTGGATTTTAAATGGTTACAAATTTTATTTTTATAACGTCGATATAACAGTTATTATTCGATATTACTCGATTATAGTTATTAGATGCCTGTGTAGCCTAAACGAATGAAAATCGTGTTCAGTATTCTCAAAATATTTTTAATTCGAAGAATTGACTCTCCACGCGTTACGTGATCTCTTTAAATTATTTTTACGCCACGGAACGATACACCGCTGTGGCAACCGCGGCCATGATTGCAAGAGGTGTGCAAGCGAGGACGTTCAGGCAAGAATAACGCAAGATAAACGAATTTTCCTCGCGCTTTTTCCTAAGGAAATCGAGGGCGCCCTGGGATTATTTCGTGACTCGACTTGCACAACGCTTCGCGCGCCTCGCTACGCTTTTACTTTCGAGTTCCTCGAGTTCTTCGTCCGGGGCCCCGATTATCTCGACGGGGAAATTAGCAAACCAAATGAGGACCGAAGTTAGTTTGTTGTCGATGTTCTTGTTGATCTCTTCTTGGTAAATAACTTTTCGCATTTTGTGCCGCGATATTGGATCCGCCATTGTGAATTTCTAAATTCTGTTTTCAGACTTGAAATCAGCGACCCCAAAAACCCCCGGATACCAAATTTCATCAAAATCGTTCAAAAAGAGAAAAAGATAGACTTATATTTCTTCTAAAGAATTTGGAGAGGTTTTCCAATCAGGAAATACTATAATGTTTACTACTAATTCTCGGAATTTGAGGGGTGTTCCTTCCAAGAAGTGCGCTCCCTTATGTCTACTACTATTTCTGGGAATTGAAACGGCCTTGCAAGGTCGCTGGATCAATACATGTATATAGGTACACAATGTACCTATTAAATAGGAAACTTTGAAATGTTATAGTTCAGCGTAGAATTGTCTGATTTGATTTTTACAAAATGCAAATTAAAGGGCGGAAAATCTACTATTTAATAGATAATCATTATGATTATTAAATACTCTTAAACAATTGTTTTTTTATGAAAATGGATGTGACTTTGATGCGTCGTACCTCGGCGTGGAATCGTCCGATTTGATTCTAAAGAAATGCAAATTGGAGAGCGGAATTTCTACTACCTGATACAAACGGTGAGTGAACTCAAGTGTTACGACAGCGTAATCTGGCTTCTCCTCAATTAGGGTACTGGTTTCCGATTCTTCCAGTCCCTTCCAGTCCCTCTTTTATAATTCCAGTTTTCATACAGAAAAGTGTTGTTTGTATTCTAAGACAATTCTCAGTCTGTCTGTGAATCCTCCGTGTCGCAATTAATCCTTTCTCCTCCTCGCGGAGTAAATTACACGTTTAACTGTGACAATAAATTATTCTCTGGGCAGAGAAAATTGCGCATTACAGTAATTATCCAATCTGACAGAAGAATCTGTGAATCGCACTCTGGAAAATCAAATTCCACAAACTTGCTTAATTTTTGTCGACGTTGATGTAGCATTTACTATTCAAAGTATTATATCAACGATAAATAAATCATCCAACTTGAGCGATTCAATTCCCATGTTTCTCTTCGCGAAAGCCCAAGTATAGCTTTCAGCGAAATTTTAGTGGCGATCTCGCGGAAATAAAATCGACAGTGCGACGAAATGGCCGATGATTCAGAATGGAACGTCTCGTCGTTTTACGAGTGAGAACGGGGTCGCCAGAAGTATCGACCGTCGCGTCGATCCGTCTCGACGATTTAACTTCACGGAAATTTCATCGTTTGGCTTTCTTTCAGGCGGATTAACGAACCGGAAACAGCACTATGGCGAGCCATCAGAAGTGAGCGATAAAATTTCAAAAGATCCAGGAGAAGCCTAGTTTTATCGACGGGTCGGAGAACTCACGAATTATTGGCAGTTTCTCTTAATTGTTTCCATGGGTCGAATGACTTTACTGGAAACGAGAGAAACGAGAGAGTGCGCAGCGTGAACATCGCACGGTTCACGATTCTAAAACTAATTTGTCTAATTGAAATGGTCGAACGTTATGACTGTGACTGGCATACTTGAGATAATTAGAGGGGAAGGTAGAAATATAGGATAACCGTTTTGTTGTTTTTTTTAAACGTAAAGAGATTTTCATAAGGAATGCGCTATATAAATTTAAATTTTGCAACTCCTATACGATTTGTTCATTTTGAAATACTTGAAGAGAAGAAGACACACGAGCTACCTTCCTAAAGAAAATCCTTAAAGTAATCTTTTCTTTCCTTTCTAGTTCGAGAATGAAATATAATTTATAACTGTTCTCTTTTGTAATAAAAGAAGACATTGTACAAAGACTACATCTAAATGACGTAACTGGAATGCTGATGAATCTAAAGCTCTTTTGCAGCCTGGCAGACAAAGTAATTGCTAGAATCTACCAAGGAGAATATTCTCGTGCTACGAAGGTAAACGTTTCGCGCAATAACCGTGCAATTTGATCGTTCAAGGATCTCCCCCGATGCGTTGTAATTACTCGACACATTTTCCATGCGTGTCAATGCAAGTTAACCGTACGAAGAGTAATAATCTGCCGCAACATGGTCTCCCCGATGCGTTCAAACCCAACGCAAAGATTAACAACATCAGGCCACCGTGGCGCGTGATTCATTGCTTAAGCTTTTCAGTGTCTACAGGAGTTCCCACTTAGAACTGAAAAATGATAGACATTTTTCAAAGCGTTAGATTGAGAATGAGTCATTCGTCTCGATAAGTATTTTTTTCCTTTAATAGGAATTTCATTGAACTAGTCGACAATCTTATTTGCCTTTGATTATATCCACGAACATAATTACGAATTAAATTAATTTGATCATCGCTAACGATGTATTAATTCCTGAAATTCTCAATACGTCACATATGATGTTTGAATTCACCTTTTCCCATTTTTTTTTCTGTATAGAAAGGATTTAATAGATTTTGCGCCCTTTGACCCTCCGAAGATTAGCTACGAACGAAAGTCGAGATCGAGTGCTTCTTCGATCCCAGCGTTAAATTTGCCTTTCAAAATAATCGACCTCCGATTACAGCGATCGGTGGACAGCAGTCTTCTTGCGAATCTTTAATCGGTAATTTGATTCCAATTGCGTATAAATACAAGATTAAAACGATGATAGCGATTGGTCCCCATTTTCTATGAATAATTTATGTCCGTACAATTATCGAGCAACGAGCAGCACCACGATTGCTATCGCTTTCCATCGAAATTGCTCCAGCGCATCTATTTGCGTTTCTACTACTTTCGATGATAATGTGAACTCGATCTTGGATCACTTTCTACGGCTATCCTCTTATCAACCTTGTTCGTCGGACTCTTCTTGTAACTCATAAACTGTAGGATAATTAACTTGTGAAATTGTAAGAATCTTGGTTGTCTCCGGGCAAACATCTTTCCAAGATAAAAAACGATGCTGAAGAATGGTGTTTCGAACGCTTCTGCTACCAAAGGGTGTACCGTACGATCGCAGATCTACAGGAAGTCACGAAGGACTTCGATTAGGCATCTTCGAGGAGTGCTCAACGATGCGTGGCTCAATGAAAAACAATTACTGATCAAACAAGCCTTGACCTGCTCATCAAGCTATCCTCATATTTTCCTGCATTAAAAAAGGCTATTGAAAAAACATCTCACGAGTCGAAACTACCAAACAAACCCCCCAAACAAAGGTATGCTAGCCCTCCTCGAATCAACTTTTGATAGTTTTAAAATTAGCAAATAGCATTAGCAATTTATGGAAGAAGAAAGTTCGTAAATATTACTCCTAGCAATGAAAGAGTGCATTTTTTTCTATTTTGTATTCCGTTTTGGCGCGACGCAATAAAGACGTCGGATAAGCGAACAAAATAAACACATAAATTTACAATGTCGCCTCGCGAAGTGAAATCGCGACATTGGAATTTCGCAGTCGGAAAGCATCGAGACGACACTATCGATCGGCGCTTTCCTTCGACATCCGTCGCCAGCATGGAACTGGAACGCTCGAAATC